ATAAATACGATCACGAAGAGGTCCAAATATGGCTTAAAAATCCCGTTCATCAAGCTCATGAACGCAGCAGGGGCATTCGTAAGACCAAAAGACATCACTACAAATTCGTAATGCCCATACCTCGTTCGAAAAGCAGTCTTTGGCACATCCGTTGCCCGTATTTTCAATTGATGATAACCGGATCTCAAGTCAATCTTAGAGAAGACACAAGCACCTTGTAACTGATCGAACAAGTCATCAATGCGGGGAAGATGATACTTGTTCTTTATGGTTACCTTGTTTAGTTGTCTGTAGTCTATACACATTCGAAAACTCCCATCCTTCTTCTTTACAAACAAAACCGGAGCACCCCAAGGAGATGCACTTGGCCTAATAAAGCCTTTGTTTAACAACTCTTGAAGTTGGGCTTTTAACTCTCTTAACTCCGCGGGGGCCATTCTATAAGGGGGTATAGAAATGGGGCGAGTACCCGGTTCAAGGTCAATACAGAAATCAATATCCCTATCTGGTGGCATACCAGGAAGATCTGCAGGGAACACATCCAAAAACTCGCGGACTACCGAAACCGACTCAATCGAAGGTACTTGGGTAGTGTCATCCTTGAGATGTGCCAAGAAAGCTAAACACCCTTTACTAATCATTTTCTTAGCACGAAGAAAGGAGATGATACGCACCGGATTGGAAGTGTAGTCACCCTCCCACACTAACGGATCTATCCCAGGCTTGGCTAACGTCACCGTTTTAGCATTACAATCCAAGATCGCAAATTGCGGAGAAAGCCAAGTCATACCCAGAATTACATCAAAATCGACCATTTCTAAGATAACCAAGTCTACATAAGTATTGCTCCCCACAAAAGTTACAAGACAAGACCTATACACCCTTTCAACTATCACAGACTCACCCACCGGAGTAGAAACACGAATAGGCATATCAAGTAATTCACAATGTAAAGTTAGACCATTAGCAAATGAGGAAGATACATAAGAAAATGTGGATCCAGGATCAAACAATACAGAAGCCATGCAATCACAAACCAAAAGATTACCTGTGATGACAGCATCAGATGCCTCCGCTTCAGACCGCCCAGGAAAAGCGTAACAATGGGCCCTATCGTTCGTCTGTCCGTTGCCCCTACCTTGTTGTGATGTAGTGGCTCCAGTTTGCCCATCACCTCGGCCGTTTTGGTGACCACCATTTCCTCGACCACCACGTCCTCTAGAATAACGGCCTCTGCCATGACCACCTCTACCTCTAACATTTGGAGGTCTGTAACTCTGTTTTGGACAATATCTCTTAATATGTCCAATCTCCCCACATCCATAGCACTCTCTGGGTTCATGCATAGGTCTCTCAGAGAAGTGTTGACCGGTCGGAGGTGGAACCCCAACTACAATCTGTAGTGAAGACTGAATTGGTCGGACTGAGTAACTTCCCGAACCCTGTCCTCTAGTGTAAGCACCATTAAACTCACCTCCCTTTCGAAACCTTTTTGATGTCGATGTCGGGGTGAAGTTGTCTGGCTTCACTCCTTCCACTTCTATCACAAAGTCTACCACCTCTTGGAAGGATTTTGCCGTTGCCGCTATCTGTAAGGCCGAAATCCGCAATTCTGACCTCAACCCCTTCACAAACCGACGAATTCGCTCTTGTGGACTGAAACACAGTTGGGTGGCATACCGGGATAATGCACGAAACTTAGCCTCATATGCATTGACCGACATCCTACCTTGCTCTAGGCTCAAGAACTCATCCCTTTTCCTATCCCTCAAAGTTCGGGGGATATACTTCTCCATAAACAAGCTAGAGAATAAGGCCCAAGTCATAGGTGGTGCCTCTGTTGGTTGACACTCAATATGTGACCGCCACCACATTTTGGCGTTCCCTTGAAACTGATAACTCACGAACTCAACACCAAACCGTTCTACTATACCCATCTTGTGTAGTAGCTCATGACAGTCAACCAGAAAATCGTAAGCATCCTCAGATTCTGCACCCTTGAAGACTGGAGGTTTCAATTTCAAGAACTTACTGAAAAGTTCATGCTGATCATTTGTCATTATAGGCCCAGTAGTCAGACGTGGAAACGTGCCTATTTCCAATGGAACATCCATGCGGGGAGCCATAGTAGCCGCATGTTGTACCTCCGGAGCCTGAGGTGCTGGTGCAGAAAACACTGGGGGTGTCTGGCCCTGATCAGATAACCCGCTAAGATAAGCCAGAACCTGATTGATCATCTCTGGGGTAGGTTGGGGTGGCATTTCCTCATTTTGCACTTGTTCATTCACCCCATCCTCCCCCTCTCTTATCACTTCCTCAGTCGGTGGAGGAGTCACCGCCCTAGTACCAGATGGGCTCGGTGCTCGTCCTCTTCCTTTAGAGGACGTCCTCTCACGACCTCTACCACGGCCCCTTGCCGCTGTTCTCCCTCGAGCCACAGCCCCAATGGCTGGCTCAGTTGTTTCTTGTCTGGCCGGTGTTGGTGTTGGCGTAGTCGTTGCTCTAGTTCTAACCATCTGCGAAAGAGAGCGAAGATGGTCAGATACCAATTCGTATCGCCTAGATACCAATTGGACTCAAGTAGTAGCACGAAAGAAAGAATGAAAGAGTGAAATTTTCCTAAAGTCTTATAGCCTCTCAAGGAAAAGTAAAGGCGTCCCCCTACCGTTCCTTAAGACTCTACTAGACCTGTTCTTGTGTGATGAGACCAACGAACCTAATGCTCTGATACCAAGTTTGTCACAACCCAAATCCGGGCCGCGACTGGCACCCACACTTACCCTCCTATGTGAGCGAACCAACCAATCTAAACCTTAACATTTCAAGGTAATATCAACATAAAGTAATGCGGAAGACTTAAACTCATTAATAAAATCAATAACTATTATTATTCCCAAAATCTGGAAGTCATCATCACAAGAACATCTATAATCAAATTACTAAACTAAGAGTATTCTAAGAAGCTAAAAATACATAAGAAGCTAGTCCATGCCGGAAGTTCAAGGCATCAAGACTTGAAGAAGAAGATCCAGTCCAAGCTAGAAGCATTAGCTCACCCTGAATTTCCGATGTAGTAAGACTGACTTGAGTTACTGTTGAGTCGAAGATGACGGCACATTTGCTGCACTCCACAAATAAACAAGAAGAAAACAATAAAAATAGGGGTCAGTACAAAACACGGGTACTGAGTAGATATCATCGGCCAACTCAAAATAGAAAACAGTATGTATTAAGCAATATCATAAAATCAACTAATATCCTTAGCAGGCAGCATTTACAGTTACCATAACCCTTGGTTACAACACCAAGCACATCAATGAGGACTCACACCTCCTCATCATACTCATTTGAGAATTTAGTTCATTAGATTGGATATATTAACATATTTCAAGATTCATTATCTTTATTTCCCTCGTGTCGGTACGTGACACTCCGCTCCTCAATATACTATCCTGGTGTCGGAACGTGAAACTCCGATCCTCATTCTATCCTGGTACCGGAACGTGGCACCCGATCCATATTCTATCCTGGTGTCGGAACGTGACACCCGATCCATATTCTATCCTGGTACCGGAACGTGGCACCCGATCCATATTCTATCCTGGTGTCGGAACGTGACACCGATCCATATTCTATCCTGGTACCGGAACGTGGCACCCGATCCATATTCTATCCTGGTGTCGGAACGTGACACCCGATCCATATTCTATCCTGGTACCGGAACGTGGCACCCGATCCCCTAATCTCACCGCTTTCGTTCATCAAGCCTTCTTTTATACCAAGGCATCATCATTAACAAAGTAGATTAGGGTTTCTTTTCAAGATTTGGGATTCAATAGTTTCATCATGCTTATTTATTCACAATTACATAATCACATCATTCATGCAAGCATACAATTAAGCATATAGAAGGTTTACAATACTACTAACACATATCATTCGTATTAAGAGTTTACTACGAATAACATGAAAACCATAACCTACCTCCACCGAAGAATTGCGATCAACAAGCTATCTTCTCAAAATCCTTGCTATTCTCTTCGTTTTTCTCTCTCTCTACTCATTCTCTTTCTTTTTCTGTCTCTCTTTGTTCTTTCTATTTTTCTTTATTCAAACCCTCTTTCTTTTACCCTAATTAGTATATAATTAAGAATAAAAGATGACAATAATACCCCACTAATTAACTTAAGGTTACCTCTTTTAACCCCCAAGAATTTGAGTTATTAATATAAACCCACGAAATATATAATTATAGCAGGAATAGTCCAAAACGCCCCTTTAAAACTTAACCAGAAATCCGACTCCACTGGGATTACGCAAGCTGTGACGGGCCATCGCGCCTGCGACGGTCCGTCCTGCTGTCCGTCGCATAGTTCAGAAACTTGATTTTGGGTGAATGACCTGTGACGGTCCGTCCTGCCACTCCGTTACGAAGTTCAGAGAGTCGATTTTCAGTACTCAATTTCAGATTTTCTAAGTGTTTTGAAACGAGACCCTGCGACGGTCAGTCGTGCTCATGACGGTCCGTCGCCTCAGCCTGTTTTCCAGAAATAAAATCTGCTGCTCAAAACGACTAAACAGGTCGTTACATTAAACTATGAGAAATGAACAAAAATCCCCTTCGTTTATAATTTGGTCCGAAAATTCCCTTCCCTTCAATACTTTGATCCAAAAAAAATGTCCTTATTGTTATTTTGGGTAAAAAATGCTCATTCTTCCAAATAAATATATTATTTATTTTCTTTTTAACACATTATATCTCTAAAAATATTTGCGTTGCATAATTTTGTATATAATTATAATATTTTTATAAAGATGTTGAAAATCGTCTCAAAGGATTTTACTTTTTCAATTAGTTATTTTGTTTTAGTTTAAACTATAGTTTATATTTCGAGTTAATTAGTTTGTAATTAAAATAATTATTTTATCACCGAATTAATTATTCCATTTCCTAAGATTAAGAAGCTCATTAATTAATGCCTTTTTTTATTTCATCTTATTTAATTATTGGTCGACTTTACTAATTTAATCAATTTGACTAATTTCTTAATTTTGCTTGGCTACAATTGAATCATTTGGGCATATTTTATAATCGCAATTTAGCTATTTTCTATCCAACTTCCACATTCCATTGACTTGTAATTTTAAGACCAAATTTGGGTCTCCTCTACCAATTTTCAGTGCGCAGCCCACTCAAAAGACCTAATTTCAATTCAAATGTAGCACCAACCCAATTTTTTTTATTTTTTTCTCCTTTCCAGAAAACCCATATCCAATTCTCCAAATAAAACATTCCCCACCAGCAGCCCAAAAATAATAACCCAACTAAAATGAATAACCTGACCCAACTCTGTTCTCCCTCTTCAACGTTAACAACAGCAGAAAAATGGCAAGACGCGTGAATGTCCCTGACCCGTTGTACGCGTTTTTCTCCTCTCAAGCGAGGGCGAGTCAATGACGCTCCAACGTCTCTTTCTCCCTTTTCCGCATCGTACAATTTTTCACCAGCTGTAGCCGCCTGAAGAATCGTCCTTGCATCCGTGATTTTTGCCTTTGACGCTTGGAGATTGAGCCACGTAGCTTCGCCAAGTACGATCGATTTGATCTAGCCGTCTACCCCCTTTTCCCTTTTCAGAATGGGGTTGAAGTTTGAGAGAAAGGTGTTCGTCCAAAAATGGTGATTTTTTCATAGTTTTAAATTTTGAATAGGCTCGGTTTGATCGAAAATTGGATTGGTTTCCCTCCAATTTTTTTCCAAACCCTAATTCTTCCCCTTATATATTGTATTTTTCTGTTCACTTTGAGGGAGTTTTTCTTTGAGGAATTTTACTAAGGCATAAAGAATCGTCATAACAAAGATAGTTAGAGGATATAGGAAATACATTCAAAGGAGGGCAGGGGGAATTATTTTTCGTTCAAGTCTCGCTTTTTCGAATCGATCACCATCATCTTTCTAGGCTAGTCTGATCTCGAGTTTTCTTCTTAGACTCCTCATTGCTGCTTGGTTCGTGTGGTGGAAGAGCTCATCTCATTTTCGTCTCTGTTTTGCTGCCCCTCTAAAGTTAATATCCATTTTCTTTTAAGGATCCCCTGCTCTTAATATGTTGTTCATGAGAGCGTGAAGTTGTCTACATGATAGAATGGATTATTTTTCTTATATTTGGACTTGTCGCTGGCCACAAATTAGTAATAGAATCTGTTTGATAAGCTATTATTGTTGTTTATTTCCGTTTTCAGGACAACTTGGTGCCTGTCTAAGCTTATATAGCCATTTGTATTTCATCGAACTCATGGTTTGTTATGCTCGTTCTAAGTTCGTATCGTTCTTCATTATTTGGTCTGCTTTGTTGGTATTCATGACCATGTTTTGTTAAGTATTCTGAGTATATCAAAATTATTTCTACATTGTTTTCTTTTCACTTTTTGAAGTTTGCTTTATTTAAGTTTTCCTCTATGTCAGTACATACATATATTCGTATCGAAATATTAGAACTTCCTTGTGTTGACAATTTTCTCTTTAATATAAGACTTATGTATTGATTTTTCCACTCCTCTTCCTTTTTTATATGTTTTTTCTGTTAGATGATTCCCGGGTCATTTGAAAGGTTTGACTTTGCTCATTGTTTTCATTGTCGAAGAACCAACGATCGCAGTTACTGGTTTGTTTTCTTTTTAGCAGGTTTCCACAGTCAATTGAAGATCTGTATGTTCTAACTCGAAGCAAATTGTTTATAGAATTGTGTTAGTTATGTTTTCCTCGTCTATATACATAGGCATATTTTTTTTACTATTATTAAAACAAAAATGAGCTAAGTTTGGGGATGATAAGAATTGAACGTCACTTACGGTTTTTTCCTCTTGAGTTGCTGAAATCACTTGTCACTTTATGTGTAACACTTCGAAAATAAAAGACGTGTTCTAGAGCCTAACATAAGTGTCATAAAGTCTAGACACTGTTTTAAGGTCTATATTAATGAATATAATTCATTTAGGAAGTCTAGAAACCAAAACGTCCCAGAACATCCATGACGTTCAGAAACTAGTTCAAGGAGGCGAGCGTTAGCCTAGTTGACTAGATTTTAGTAGTCGAAAATCGATGAAAATTGGTAGAAGGGTATCTAAATGGGTTTAAGTTGATTCATAGTCGAAATGTCCATGTACAACTCCCCAAGGACCAACCTAAGGGCCCTTGAGGAGGACCCTTGCAAGTGGAGTCAAACACTGCCTGGGCAGTGTGCACCCATGAGAGGCGGACGACAAGGCGTCGATGCTACCCTTCGACCAACACTTAGCCGATTCATTTAAGGGTCTCATTTTCACACTCTCTGTACTTATCGACGGATGTTTAGCACGGAAGGAGGGATGGTCCGTTGATTGAGCCACGGGGCATCGATGGGGTCTCGTATGTGAGGGTCCAATTTTGTTGCACGTTTTTAACTAAGTATTAAATAATTAATTAAGGGGTTTGGTGGTTAGTTAGGGATTAATGAAATTATAATTAACTTAATTGACCCCCCATATAAAGACGCCAACCCCATTACACTAATTACAACTCACAAAACAAAACTTTCTTCCTTCTCTCTTCTTTCTCTCTCTATTGGAAAACATCATTGAAGAACAATATAGAGGAGGGTTTTGGGGGCTGTAAAGGGAATATTTCACCATTTTTTCTTCATCAAACATTGAAGTATGGGATCTAATTCACCTTTGAGATCTCTTTCCTATAAGGGTTCTTTCAAATTATTTTCAAAAGTTGATTTTTGATGTGGGTCTTTCTCAATCTCAAAAAATTATGTTATGAATTGATTTGTTTATGATTTATTTTGGAAATTATGATTATATTAACATTTATTATAACTTAATTATGACGTATAGTTTGTAGAAGATGACCCTTAATCCTTAACCCTATGTTTGATCTTGATATGAATTAGGTTTGTATTTGGTTCAATTAAATTGTTTATTGGTTGAATTACTACTAGATGATGTTGTTACACTAATCATGAATTAGGAAGATTTGTAGTCTTTAATACTAGTTCTTGAGAAGATGATCCAGGTTATAAAGGATGTTATGAATTCACCTAAGTATCTTGTCTTAAGCTATGATCTTGAATTGAATTGTGTGTGGTGAGTCTTCTAGCCTTGTTATCATGTGGATTATTGACTTGTGATCATGTATACCCAAATTGGGTTTAATTGAGGGCATACGGTAAGATCTTGATGATGAACTATGAAGGAGACTTGGTAAGTCTTATGATCTCTATCATTTACTTCAAATTGTGGTTAATTGTGATTAAGTCATAATGTTGTATTGGAGTATGCCTTGTATTAGGATTTATAGGGTGGTATGATGTTGAATTGAAATGTCTTGATTATGATTGTGAGGTGTTGGCTTAAGATGTAAATGTTATAAGGAGGGTGAATGATTTACCAATGTCTTATCATGAAATGAAGATGTTAATGTGGTAACATCACCTATATGAATTGTAATGAAAGGATCTATACTCATGCAATTTTTATTGAGCTATTGATGATGATGATTATACAAGGCGTAAACCCTATGACCTAAACTAAGCTATTATTGATAATAAAGGCTTAAAGACATTTCAAAAAGGGACTCTAGCTTAGCATCGAGTGAACTAGAGTGAGGAGTGTTCCTTCTTACATAGGGAAGGTAGGATCACTAATGTACTCTTGATATTGGAGACTACAATGCATGTAGCATAAAGAGGGTCCCAACTATATCTCCTAGTTCTTGAACTATGTTGCCCCATAGGAATACAAGCTAGTGATCCACGTAGTTGCTATGTTTCATGTTTTGGTACTAGCTTGGGAAGTAGTCTGCCTTCCTTCGGTCTAGGGTTTTACGTCACCAGATTCCACATTAGCTCATCTGGTCTATGTCGGTTAGGGCAAGATGTTCCCAAAAGGTAAAATGAACTAAAGGATTGAACTCTAATCAAGATCACCTAAGGAGTCTAGCTTAGTCTAGGTAGGGGTATGAGACTCTACCTAAGCAATATTCCACTAGTTAGACTTGAAGGGAGTCTTAGGAGAATGTTATTATGTATATTATACTTATAATGCTATATGACATGTATATGATGAACTTGCACATTGTTGATACTGTATGTTGATTAGTTCACTTATGAATATGTTTTGGTTTATATAGTTAAAGTAAGATGATATGTACACCTAAAGGCCATGTTATGTGAAGTAGGATGTTAGTCATGATTCTTTTTGGGTTACTTGATTGAGTAAGGTTATGGGGCTTTACTTGGTCATTGCACTTGTTGACTTGATAAGGGTTCATGGGCAATTGACTTGCTTTGTTAAAATAAAATGTACTCTTATTCATGCTTATTGTTAATAGGACTTGATGATAAAGTTACTTGAATATGTATATATGATATGGATGGTTGACTTGACTAGACTTGATGTGTTGTTCTTGTGATGTACATTCTTATGACTTAAATGAAAATGCATTATTGATTGGTATGGTCTTGGTGAGTGTGTATAAAGGTTCCTAAATGAAAAGTGCATAGTTTATAAAATATCCCTCTTTCTTAGCATGTTTTCATAGTCTGTGTGAAATATGGTCTCATACTTAGTACAAGTGGCGTACTAACCCCATTTCATCCTTTTCCCCAACATTTTAGGTTCTGGTCGTTAAAGTGCTTTGAAGAAGACTAGACGAAGCCTTGGATCTCTTATTCATCCAAGTAGGGTAGGTCCTCAATTTCCGAGGGCGATGCCACTATCTAGCTTATGGAGTTGCTTTTAGTTCAAGAATTCTATGGTTCTTTCTTTCTATTTAGTATGAAACATTATATAGCCCATGTGAGACATTTTTACTTTGATGATGTATGGGTTATGCCCAAGTTCTTACACTCTTATTAGATGGTTTTGAAATAATACAAATATTATGACTATTATGTCTATCTTATATTTTATATACTTACATGCAATAAAAGTAGAAGACTAAGTCATCTTTCTATATGAAGGGACTATGTATACTCGATATCTGTATGTTATGTATATATAGAAGTCTATGTAAACCTCGAAGAAGTAGTAATGAAATTTTTTAAATTTTCCGCTTAAATTGACCTATGAATGTAATCATGTAAACTAAGAGGTCTTAGTTCTCAAAGAGGACAACGATGCAAGTTACGTCTAGGGGGTAAACCCGGAGTGAAAAACTTTGTATCAGAGAATGAAGTTGAATTATCTTTAAGTCAATGTCTCTCTCAACCATGTCTATGAAAGTTCATATCCATAATTGTGAAGCGTGCCATACTTATGGATAGGAACCTACGTGATTCCTAAGAAACTCTCACTTTCTTTGAAATCCGATGTCGTGCCATTAGAGTATACTTATTGTGTTCTTTTACATCTAATCCTACTTTTGTGATCATAGGAAATGAACACTCAAAGGAATGTGGCACGAAGACTTGAAGAGGAGATTGCCAATGCGGGAGCTCCTCCCTGTGGTGATCAAGTTCCTCCTCTTGAGGAAGGTGAGAATGATGACCAAGCCCCGGTGAATCCTCCTCCTTTGATGGATGATAATATATGGTGTTCTCTTCTTCAAATGGCCAAAGCCATCACTACCCAAGCACAAGCCGCCACTGCTCAAACCCAAGCCATGACGGTCTAAGCTAATCAGGAGGTTGTACCCCGAGATCATCAACAAGTTGCTACCATGGCCTCCCGTCTAAGGGATTTCACTCGGATGAATCCTCCTACTTTTTACAAGTCTAAGGTTGAAGGATATCCCCAAGATTTTATCGATGAAGTCGACAAGATTCTCTTGTCTATGGGGTTGTATGCAAGTGAGAAGGCCGAGTAATCCACTTATCAACTCAAGGATGTGTCTCAAGCATGCTATGTCAAATGGAGGGATAATAGGCCATTAAGGGGTGGTACAGTGACACGGGAGATCTTCAAAAAGGCTTTTCTTGATCGATTCTTTCCTAGGTAGATAAGGGAAGCTAAAGTGGTGAAGTACATCAACCTTATCCAAGGAGGTATGAGTGTTCATGAATACTCATTGAAATTCACTAAATTGTCAAAATATGCTCCTTTTTTGGTTTCGATCCTAGAGATGAAATGAGTCGCTTTGTAATGGGGGTGTCGGATGATTTTCAAGAGGAGTGTCATTCGGCTATGCTACATGACAACATGAACATTTCTCGTCTTACGGTGCATGCCAAACATGTGGAGGAGGCAAAGTCTAAGAGGAAGAGTAGAGATGCTAAGAGGGAAAGAACTTTCGATAGAGGTTCTTCAAAGAATAGGCTTGAGATACAAGACAAGCCTAGATTCAAGAAGTGGGTTTCTAATCAAGTTCCTTCCAAGTTCCCTAAGGGTAGTGGTGATAAGGTGTCTAACCTTAAGCGTAAGAAGGGAAAGGGTACTAGTTCACCAACCGAGAATCCAACTTGTGGAAAGTGTGGCAAGAAGCACCATGGTGATTGTCTTAAGGGAACAAATAACTATTTCTGTTGTGGTAAAAGTTGGCACAAGATTAGGTATTTACCTAATGTGAGGGGTCAAGACAAGGGTAGTGGTCAATCTCAAGCAAGTGGTTCAAATGAGGCTCCAAAGAAGAACCGCTTCAATGCTCTCTGCTCTAGGGGTGAGCAAGACACTTCTCCCGACGTGGTGATCGGTATGTTTAAAGTCTTCTCTATTTATGTAAATGTATTACTTGATCCCCGTTCTACTTTATAATTTTTACCCCTCTATTAGCCAAAAAGTTTGACATTTTGCCCGATATTTTGCATGAACCTTTTATAGGGTCTACCTCGGTGGGTGAGTCAGTTGTTGCAAAAAGGATGTATATAAATTGTCCTATAATGTTTCCCAATAGAGTTTCTTATGTTGAACTAGTAGAACTTGATATGCTTGATTTTGATGTCATTTTGGGTTTGGATTGGTTGCATGCTTACTTTGCCTTTATTGATTGTAGAACGAGCGTGGTGAAGTTTAACTTTCCAAGTGAGTCCTTTGTAGAGTGAAGGGGGGAAATTCTACTCCTAGAGGGCGTATCATCTCTTGTTTGAAAGAACGAAAAATGATCTCCAAGGGGTTTTTATACCATATAGTAAGGGTCCAAGATTTAGACTCCAAAATTCCTCTCATTGAGTCGGTTCCCGTAGTGAGTAAATATCCGAACACCAAGTTAGGGTGAGAGGTGATTATATACCAAAGACGACATTTCGGACTAGATATGGTTACTATGAGTTATTAGTAATGTCTTTTGGTCTCGTAAATGCCCCGACGGCGTTTATGTATATCATGAATAACGTGTTTCAAAATTTTTTAGATTTATTTTTCATTGTCTTCATTGACAACATCTTGGTATATTCGAAAAATAAGGGTGATCACATGAACCATTTGAGGGTGGTGTTACAAATACGTACAAAACATCAATTGTTTGACAAGTATAGAAAATGTGAGTTTTGGTTGAGGTCAGTGACATTTCTTGGTCATATCATCTCTAGTGAGGGATTGAGGTTGCTCCAAGGAAAAGAGATGCGGTGAAGAATTAGCCCACACCATTGACTACAACCAACATTAGGAGTCTCTTGGGTTTAGCGGGTTATTATTGGAGGTTTGTGGATGGTTTTGCGTCCATTGCATCTCTCTTGACTACTTTGACCCAAAAATGTAAGAAATTTGAGTGGTCGGAGGCATGTGAGAGAAGTTTTCAAATGTTGAAAGATAGGCTTACTTTCGTTTCGGTGTTGACTTTATCGGAGGGTGCAAAGGTTTTTGTTGTGTAATTTTGATGCATCCCGAGTGGGTTTAGGGTGTGCGCTTATAAAACATGGGAAGGTGATAGACTATGCCTCTAGGAAACTTAAGGTGCATGAGAGAAACTATCCAACTCATGACCTTGAGCTAGCGGCCGTGGTATTTGCCTTGAAAATATAGAGGCATTACTTGTATGGTATCCATGTTAATGTATATACCGAGCATAAGAGTCTCCAATATGTGTTTACTCAAAGGGAGTTGAATCTCTGACAAAGAAGGTGGTTAGAATTGTTGAAAGATTACAACATGAGTGTCCTCTATCACCCCGGCAAGACCAATGTGGTTACGGATGCTCTAAGTTGTACGACTATGGGTAGTGTGTTTCACGTAGATGAAGCCAAGAAAGACCTAATGAAGGATATTCATAGGTTGTCTAGGTTGGGCGTCAGATTGGAAGATTCTTCAAATGGTGGTTTCATGGTCCATCATAACTCCAAGTAATCATTGGTAGTTGAGGTGAAGTCCAAACAACACCTTGATAAATCATTGATGGAGTTTAAGGAATTGGTATTTGTTAACCTTAATGAGGCATTCTCCTTAGACGGTGATGGTGTTTTGAGGTACCAAAGAAGACTATGTGTTCCCAAGGTAGATGAGTTAAGGAACCGCTTCCTTGAGGAATCCCATGGGTCCCACTACTCCATTCATCCAGGTTCGACAAAATTGTACCATGACATCAGGGAAGTATTTTGGTGGGAAGGTTTGAAGAAGGACATAGTGGTGTTTGTTGCCAAGTGTCCAAATTGCAAACAAGTAAAACCCAACATCAAAAGTCAGGTGGCTTACTACAAGAAATCCAAGTTCATACTTGGAAGTGGGAAGACATCAAAATGGATTTTGTAGTGGGTTTACCTCAGATTCAAAGGCAATATGACTCTATATGGGGAAAAGGAAGAAATGGGGTTAGTACGCCAGTTGTACTAAGTATGAGACCATATGCACACATACTATGAAAATATGCTAAAAAATAGGGACATTTCATAAAGTATGCACTTTTCATTTAAAAACTTTTATGCACATTCAAAAAGACCATACCAATCAATAATGCATGTTCATTAAGGCATAGGCATGTATATTACAAGAACAACACATCAAGTCTAGTCAAGTCAACCATGCATATCATATAATTATATACATATTCAAGTAACTCTATCATCAACTCATATTAACAATAAGCATGAATAAAAGTACATTTCATTATAACCCTTATCAAGTCAAGAAGTCTAATTAACTTAATTAAACCTCATATAATGACCCTAACACCATTGCACTAATTACAACTCACAAAACAAAACTCTCTTCCTTCTCTCTTCTTTCTCTCTCTATTGGAAAACAGCATTGAAGACCAAGCTATGGGAGGGTTTTGGGTGCTGAAAATGGATTATTTCTCCATAAATTGTTCATCTAATATTGAGGTATGGTATCTAATTCACCTTTGATATCTCTTTCCTTAAAGGGTTCCTCCAAAGTATTTTTAAAAGTTGAGTTTTCATGTGGGTCTTTCTCAATCTCGAAAAATTATGTTATGAATTGATTTGTTTATGATTTATTTTGGAAATTATGAGTATATTAACATGTATTCTAACTTAATTATGATATATCTTGATGGTTTGGTCTAGTTTGTAGAAGATGACCCTTAATCCTTAACCCTAGGTTTGATCTTGATATGAATTAGGTTGTATTTGGTTCAATTAACTTGGTTATTGGTTGAATTACTAATATATGATGTTGTTACACTAATCATGTAAAATTAGGATGATTTGTAGTCTTTCATAATAGTTCTTGAGAAGATGATCTAGGTTTTAAAGTATGTTGTGAATTGACCTAAGTATCTTTTCTTAAGCTATGATCTAGTATTAAATTGTAATGTATTGATTTTTCTAGACTTTTTATCATGTTGATTATTGAATTATGATGATGTATACCAAAATTAAATTGAATTGAGGGTTTATGGTAAGATCTTGATGTTGAACTATGAAGGTGAGTTGGTAAGTCTTATGATCTCTGTCCTTTACTTCAAATTGTGGTTATTGTGATTAAGTCATGATGTTTTATTGGAGTATGCCTTGTATTAGGATTTATAGGGTGGTATGATGTTGAATTGAAATGTCTTGAT